CCCCCCCCCCCCCCTCTAACTGCCTGGTAGAGAAGCAGTGGTACGGAGGATAAAAGAGCTGGTAGGAGAAAAGAGGGGACACAGGCAAGCACTTGAAGGGAGGGTCAGGGAGAGATCGACTTTGAGGTGGGGGGCAGAGGAGCTAGTGAATAGTAGTAGACATCTGGCGCCGTATAAGGTGAAGAGGCTCCCGAGGCCCCTGTCTAGCCTGCTCAGTCAATCCCCTGGTGAATGTTGGCAGTCCTCACTGCCATAGTTCTTATTGCTTTCAGACATTCTCAATTTTTGTATATGGGACGCTGGACCCGTTTTCCAGCAGGTGATGCTCCCCACCAATAGATGGAGCCTCCCTGCAGGTGTTAGTGGTGTCTGCTCTTATCAGCAACACTAACACTGGCGAGGGGATTTTTTTCAAAAAAAAAAAAAAAAAAAAAAAACTTAGTGGCGTTCTTGTCAGGGATTTGGACTGACAGTCTGCTAGGATGGCAGAGGTGGTGTGAGTCAAGTCGACCACTTTTCTCTCTCAGGGGGATTGCTACCTTTTTCCCCCGAATACAACGTACGGTCATTATAGCTGCATTTAGACGGAAAGATACCCCAAATTCAGCTATAATGACCGTACGTTGTATTCGGGGGAAGACTGTAGCTGCTAACTTCGCGTGCCGTCGGGAGTCCTTATCCATGAGTCAAATGCATCCTCGTGGGAAGACTGTCGGTCGTGTTTCAACCTCCTGATGAGTCAGTGAAAGTCCGATGAAACAGTCTGGCCCAGCCATGCTTTTTTTTTTTTTTTTTGTGGAGTTGAGTAGAGCCAGCATGACAACACGCATCCGTCGGATGAAAGAGTCTGGCATAACCGTGTGCATTTTTGAACGGGCAGCTTTTTTTTTTTTTTTTCCAATTAATGTGTTTTTAAAGGCCTAATTAGCCCAACCAAATCGAGTCGTCTGTCCAATCTGACAGGGTGGCCCTCTGGCCATTCTATTATGGACCCCCTCTAGCACCCATATCCGGGTATGGTGCAGCCATATCCGTGTTGAGGAGAGATCATGCGGGACTGCACCCGACCTGCTGTAGGCGGGGGATACTTGCCAGGCGTTAGCAAGCAGCGTCAGGACCAAGCATTGGGTTGGGCAGTTGCTGCGCTTCCTTCCGTTCCCCTCCCCCCTACGAACGTCAGCAGTATCTGCTTAAGTGGCTAGGAGAGGGGGGCGGGGGGGGGGGGGGAATGGCCTACCTCGAGAAGGCGGGCACCAAGCGTGCCCGGATGAGACATGACCTCCTGAATGCCACCTGTATACCTCAGCAACTGAGCGACCGTCTTCCCCCGAACATAACGCACCCTGAAAAGGAAAGTATACAAGGTATGTTTCCGGCCAGATACCGTCAGAATCTGGGTGCGCTGTGTTCGGGGGAAGACGGTAGGCCGCTGACTTGAACAGCCCTCTTGGACACAGTGATGCTGCTTTTCTGAACCGTCAACTTCCTGAAATCCGGTGTGGCGCCGCTATTATGGCATCAATGATTTTGGCGTAGTGGACTCCTACGGTAGTACCCATGTGTTCAGTACTCAGTCTGCCTCCCTGGGGCCACGACAGGGTGTAACAGGCCTGCAGGGGGAGTCTCTGCATCCACTGATCCAACACTACACTCCTGTCACCGCAATACCGTGACATAAGAGGGATAACGTTTCATTCCATCATGCCTATGACCCGTGACTCTCCTTCAGTGAGCGAAGACCATGAATGGCAAGCTCTAACCCATTGCAATTGAGTCCAGGCGAATCATTCAGATATAAAAATAGCTTTACCAGCAGGCAGTCGCGCAGACTTCAGTCAAAGATTGAACGAGGACAGTAAAGCGGGGACCTTGGGTCAGCTGTCGGGCTCTGGCATGACCTCTCAAACGATCCAAATGGACCACCTCGTGCATGCTGCCGCCACTCTCAGGAAGTACTGGGGCGCCGTTTCGCGGGACATTTAAAGCACCAGTACGTACCACCAGTACGTTTCCCAACCATTTTTTCAGAGTCGGCTGGTGCATGCTGCCGCCACTGCGCCGTTTCGCTGGACATTTAAAGCACCAGTACGTTTCCCAACCATTTTTTCAGAGTCGGCTGGTGCATGCTGCCGCCACTCTCGGGGACGTACTGGGGCGCCGTTTCGCTGGGGACATACATCCAAGCAAAACGGGCCTCCCATGCGACAGGTCAGGTTTTGCCTTGATGGATGTGCCGGCACCCCAGTAGTACTTCCCGAGCGTGGCGGCAGCATGCACGAGGCGACTCTGAAAAAATGGTTGGGAAACGTACGTACTTCCCCAGAGTGGCGGCAGCATGCATGAGGTGACTCTGAAAAAATGGTTGGGAAACGTAGGTACTGGTTTGGGGGTGCTGCACTGCGCACCAAGCTTTGCCGAACCTGCAGCTATGCACTTCTTTCTTCTGTTCTGGCTGGCGCCACCAGTCATTGTGGTGCGGTAGGCCCGAGCCGAGAAATTTTCGGAGTAGGCCATGAACGAACATAGGCAAGGCCCGTTCATCTGCACTGCCGGTTAACAACGCCCCGCTGGGAGGAGCGGTTTAAACCACCAGTACCTTTCCCAGCTATTTGTTCAGAGGCGCGCCGCGCTGGCCTGAAACAGAAGGGCGGCCGCCGATACATAGAATCGACGGCCAGTCTTGTTTTTTGGGCCGGCGGCGCACGGCGTACTGGTGGTTAACAGCGTCCCCCTGCAAGTGGCCGAGTGAATTTCTGCAAGTCCGGCCAGTTCATCTGCAAGGCTCGGGCCGTGTACTGGCAGCTTAACAACGTCCCCCTGCAAGTGGCCGAGTAGTATGCAAACCTCAGCGTGGCAACCTCCCCCCCGAAAGGTCGCACACATTGTGGACACACTGCGCACAGATTGTTGTGTGCACCAAGCTCACCCCTTCAGCTAGCCTTGACATGGCGAGGACCAGGTCCTGCCTTGACTGACAATCAAAAGATAAGCAATTCTAGGCCCTGTCAGTCACTCTGAGTACCCCACAATCCAGGGTAACAGTGGTGGGATGGTGGTTCTGAAGAAGCTTATCTTGACCATCCTCATTTTGCAACCCATAGATGAAAAGATCCTAAGCACCGGGTTCTTCTACCGTATAGAATCACTTGAACATCTGCTGCCGAAAACTATCTGCATTTCCGCTTTGGTAGACTTCACTTAGTAGTGCGCTAATCATGCTCCCATGACCCGCTGTGGCCCGCTATAGCTTGCTCGTGCACTTGCTAGTGCATTCCATGTGGTTGCTATAGGGCAAGGCATGTGTATCTATGTCTTGCATGGTATATATGCTTCGTGCACCTCAGGCTGGGTTGTGTTGCCCAGCCCAGGTTGCATCTAAGGCTAGCAGCCCCAGTACCACATCTCGCCCAGTTGTTGCTGTACTTCAGCCGTTGGATTGTTAGCTTCTGTGTGTGTGTGTGTTTTTTTTTTTTTTTTTTTTTTTTTTTTTTTTTTTTCTGGGAATGGATCGTCAGCTTTGGCATACCAGTGCTTGTCCGCATGCTCATGCCCTTCAGATGGTATATCTGGAGTGTTCCACTTGCTAGATACGTGTGTAGAAGGCATCCAAAGCCTTCTTTCAGGTGCTAGGGTGCATGTGCGCCTCAATCTGGCATGGTTTATGCACCAAGCCCAACGCAGAGGCATCTAGGAGGTCTCCCTTCTATACCAAGCCCTATGTGCCTGCACGTGGTTTAAGCCCTGTAGAACCTCTTGTGGTGCTTGCTTTGGTCTGGTGTCTGCCACAGTACTGGACTCGGGCCTAAGTGGTGGCTGGCCCGTAGGCCAACGAGAGTGGTGTGGTGGTGCCAAACTTCTTTTGGGGACCAGTAGGTGCCCTGAACAACGTTTGTGTGCTGTGGTCCCACTATACCCTAGGTGCGGGAAATCCAACCAGCAGTGAGCGTACAGCACAAACACTTGTCCTTACGTTGAACCACGAGTACGTTTCCAAGCTATCTTGTGGAGGCTCAGAATTGCGGATTGGGCCTACTGGATGGAAAAGGCTGCAGGTGCGAGGCAAGTTTGTACCCACGCCTCTTTCTTCTTTTTGGCATGCAGCAGAAATCCGCATTGGAAAAGAGGGGTTTGGATGGACTGGTGGTTTAAGCCAAAGGGCAGTGAGACTACAGCACAAAATTTGGTCTTCAAATTAAGAACGTGGTGGGATCAGGCCCTAAATGAGTGAAAGTAGAGATTGGGGGGTGAGCGGCTGAAGAAGGGCCTGGACCCATCATTCATTTGGAGAGTTAAATGTCCGATACCTCCTGAAAAGATCGGGACAACCTCTACAGATGTGAGAAAGAACCTGTAGACATCATATCGTCGATTTGATGGATCAAGTGAAAAAGTTCAGGCTTCCACATAACTAAAGCGGTCGTAAGAGCTAATGGTGGTTGGAATGGAGGAGAAAATTCCTGTGCTTTCTTTGTTGTTCTGTTTCATCTGCGATTCAGGGGCCGGCTCTTGAGGCCGAGGTCGCTGGTTGGAGTCCGTGCTTACACGGAGGAGGGCTTAGGCTCAGATGTGCGGATCCCTTTGCTGCTGTGCAAGCGCCTGTTAATGGGCGGGAGAGCTGATGTAGCCCGTATGGTGGACGGGAGGGAGTACCTGCGGTAAGGGTTACATGCTGATTGTGGAAGAGCGAGGTGCGCGAGAACTGCCGTGTGTCTGTGTGGTGGTTGTGTCTGGTGTGTGTTGAGTTGGACACTACAGCCTTGCAGGGGTGGGGTGGATATCAGGACCGGTCTGGTTCCATCGTTGAACACCGTGACCTGGCTGTAGTGGTTAAGATACGTAGGCCTCTTGAGGCCGAAGTCGCCGGTTCGAATCCGTGCTTGCACGGAGGAGGGCTTAGACTCAGATGTGCTGATCCATTTGCTGCTGCATGGATTTGGGCAATTTTGAAGTTTCTAGTTCAGTTTACTGTGTGGTTGTTTTTTCGTTCTGTTCCCACCTCTTCTCCCTATCATCTACTGTCACCTAATGGTCACCTGGTTCTTTTGCTCTTCGTCTGTTTATGTCTGTGGCATTTGCTGTTATGCCTTGTGTTGCACTCCTGTCTCTTCCTCCCTCATCGTTTCTTCTCCCTTCCTTGTAAGCGTTTTCTCGCGTTTGCTTTGTCTCTTGGTCAGCCAGAGGAAGAAAGGAGAGGACTTTGTCCAGTCGTCGTGGGGCTCGTTACATTACGCCTGATTGTTGGGTCGAGAATCACGTGGCCAAGTAGGGATCCAGACAGACATCAAGGTTAGTCAAGGACGGGATCAGACTGCTCCGCATGTGGAAATAAGGCAGTCATAGTCACAGGAACGGGGGCTTCCTGTCTTGTTTTGGGGTCCTGTATAAGGGGTTAAGCAGGATGTCTACTGTCTTCGCAAGCATGAATTGCCTCCATTGTCAGAGTAACATCGTCTCGATAAAGTTCAACAACAGATGTCAGAGTGGGCACTCTTTGGCAGTTACCAAGTATTGCTGCAGTCACGACTCCAGATTATTGTCTTCGACACTTGTGGCAACGAAGAGCAGAGACAGGCAGTGGGCACGGCGATTGGACAAACAGTCTCGTTTTCATCGGGAGAGCAACAATCGTGGGTGCAGGCTCCTTGCTGCACCTGTTGCTGCGTCCGGTAGCCCAGAGGATGGCAAAAGTGGAAGCTCTTCTTGGGACATAGGCAGATTTGCAAAAACTGTGCTCTTCTTCAACAGCCCACCCTCCATCAATGAGGTCTGTGTGTGTGTGTGTGTGTGTGTGTGTGTGTGTGTGTGTGTGTGTGTGTGTGTGTGTGTGTTGTCATGTTGGCAACACACAAGTCCACAAAAAAGGCTTGACTGTGCCAGACTGTTTCATCAGACTTTCACCGACTCATCAGGAGGTTGAATGTTTGTGTGCATGTTTGTGTGGATGTGTGTCTGTGCATGCGAGTTCATCTGTGTGTGACTGCCTGTGTTTGCATGTGTATGTGCCCATGTGCCATACACACACACACACAGACAGAGAGAGAGACACACACACACACA